CTCCATCTTCTTCTGTGCTCACCACGTCCATATGCTATTTTCCAGGATCCAACCGTGACTTAACGACCTGCATGTGGATAACTTCAGTCCATAGCTCTCTCCTGATCCTCAGGCTTACTTACACATCCCAGTTGCTCGCTGATCACCCCCACTTAGATGTCCCCTAGACGCCACAAACGCAGTATGTTCCAAACTGAACTAATCGTAGTTCCTCATCCTGAATCTGCTCATCCACCTCCGTCTCTTACTGACTGACATCATCTCTGTATAGTTTCCCACGCTAGAAGCCTGGGAGTCAACTATTATTCCACCTTCTCCCCTACCGCCCACATCCAGGCAATCACTTCCATAATATTTCTTAAATCTTCCCTGTTCTTTCCATCCATTTTCACTGTCTTTGTTTAGACCGCGTCTCCACTCATCTGTTTAGTTCTGCAACATTCTCCCTATGGTGCCCTTGCGGCCAACCTTGCCCTTTTCTTGTCCATTCTCTGTACTACAGTTGAAATCTGCTCATGTCGCTGCTTGATTGACAGCGATCAATGGCTTCCAGTTGTCCTAGGATGAAATATTAAACTCTGTGGCATGGTTCCCAAGGCTCTTCATCATCTGGTCCCTATCTGTCTCTCCAGATTCACCCTCCAGCCATGCAGCCACACCGAGACACCTGTAGTTTCTTCTCTCTTCTCTGGGCCTTGGCAAAAGATGCTCCCTCTGTCTAGAAAAACCACTGATTAACTCCTCTTTCCCCTTCAGGAGTCATCTTGGAGATCATTTTCTCCAGGAACCCTCCCTCACCTTCAGAGGTCACAGGTAGCCCGCCAGCCCTGACCACACCACATTTTATTGCCATGTTCCTCTCTCCCCTCTCACTCTGAACTCCTTGCACAGAATCTCATTAATTACCTGGATCTTACTCATCTGCGTATCGCCAGTACAGTGCCTGGCACACAGAGGGTCCGTGCCATGAGCAGAGCCACTATGTTGTGTTCACTGCCTATTCTCAGTGCCTGGAACTGTGCCTACACTGAGTAGGTGCCATATATCTACGTACATATAGAACCAATTAATAAAGTAGTCAAAATGTTGTTTTAACGAGTAAGTGGTTTCCCCTTCTGTTTGGGTACCTCTAGGACTGTTTTCCTTAAATGAGGGTGTGGCAGCTGCCTTTTAATTTCCTTCCTCATCTACAAAGTATTTTTTTCCTAGAAGAAGTTAGCCTAGGCACACTGTATTTCAGATCATTGCCTCTTTGAAGCATGCCGGGTGATAATTCATGGTTCCAGCCATGGCACAGCGTGCTCAGAGCACAAGGCATAGCGAAGGCTCGTCCCTGGCAGAATATTTAAAGCTGCTGGGAGCGAGTTACTTATCTTGCAGTTCAGGGAACTCAACAATGTTTCCAAGATAAATTACTGTGAGTTCAAGGGGAGAGTTGAGGTTGCATTTTTCATGGCCCACTTCCACACACAGTTATGCCTCCAATCTATAATCTCTGAAATAAATTTGTTTCAGTCTATATCTTTGTTCTGTGCTCAGCATACAGTGGAAGCTGCTGGGGAGAATACCCAAGCCAGGGTCACTGGGTTTCATACTTAGGATGAAATAGACATTTTCCATTAAAGGCAAATCCTTCATTTCAGAAGTCTGAATAGACTGCTACTAAAAATAACAGCTTCAGTTGATAAGATTTAAGGCACTAAAAATGCTATGCTATACAAGAATGTTCTCCAGATGTAGCATTTTCAACTGCAATTTTTTTTGTTCACATGAAGGATTTGGTTCTCATTCAACTTTTCTGAATTGGTCAAACAAGTATAAAGGATACATTGGACTAGGTATCACCTGAAGCAGTAGGAGCGGTTTCTGTCCTGGTGGTAATAAGAATTGCTTCAGTTTATTTATTGTAACTGTATTTATTATGTCCCAGGCACTTGCATTCTCTCTTTTTTATATAGTATATTATTTAATCCTTAGAACAACTATATGAGATGAGTATGTTATTGTCCCCGTTTTTCAGCTGAGGAAACAGGCACAGGAGATGGTAAATGACTTTCCCTAGGTTACGCAGTTACCAAGAGTCAGAAGTGTGTTTAAGCTTAAGTAATATTTCTGCTGTCCCATGT